TTGGCCCTGGCGTCCGGCGCGTTTCGCGGCGCCAAGGTTGCAATGTTGATCGGTGTCAATGACGTTCTTAAGGCTAGGGATATTTCTCAAACCTGGCAAAATTATGTGTCAATCGTCCGGTCGCTTATTCGCGCTGGCGTCAATGCCGTGTATGTGATCCCCCTCTTACCATCTAGAAATCCAATTTATTTACGACACCAAGACTCTGTAAAAAAAATTAATTTTTGGATTGAATCGCTCAAACAAAAACGTGGCGTGACAATTGTGTCCTTTGATTCGATATTTCTACGTCCTGATGGTACTGTCAATTCTCGCTTGTTCTGTCCGCGGATCGGCAGGAGGCCGGACCTATTGCACCCGTCACCCTCTGCATTGGATTCCATGCATGGTGTTTTAAAATCTGTTGGCCGGGGCGTCTGAGGTCGCCCATCGGCTTTGTCCATGGCGTGTCCTACTCCGGTCCGACGACTAGTTCCACCTCCCGCTGTTCGCACGGAGAAGCTAACTTAAGAGTTGACGCGAGTAAAAAAAAAACATGTTTTCTTGCTTTAAAGAAATAAGAACATTGTTTGTACAGACTTTGTGAAGTTATGATGAGCTTTTTGTCACTTGTATCTCAAAATTGTAACGAAAAATATGTTCAGATGGTTCGAGGTTCCATCGAAAAATTCTTCCGAGCCGTTCGGCAAAGAACTACAATAAGTTCATTTCTTTTCTTGTATAAGAATATCAACTGCTGGCCTTTGAGTAATTTTTAATAAATATTTGTAAAAAAAAGTGAAAATTCGCCTTTCTGTTCGTCGTTTTTGTTTATTATTCTGTGGAAGAAAATATTTCAGTTTTTCTTTTGTTTTTCTTTATCTGTTGCTTATAAATTAAGAAATATTAATTGAAATTCTGTGACCTTTGTAAGGCAGGTTTGTCATAACATTCGGCGAAAATTTTTCCAAATGCACGTTGCGCAAAGGGTGCGTGTGTAATTTAGAAATGTTCGTGGGTCGTACTGTTTAAGACTTCTTAGCAGAAGTCGAACCCTCTGTTGATAATCCACAAAGGAGAAATATAAACCTCAGAAGGAATTTTCTTTTTCTTCTTTTTGGAGAAATTCTGTTGGGTTTCCTTTTCATCGTTTTGAGTGTACTTGTAGAATGAAATGGAAATGCTTTTAAGTACGATAAGTTAAACTTTTCAAATGTGTTAAATTCGTTGTTTTGTGAAACCTTTTCACTTGTTTGCAACTTGGTAACTAGGGACATGAAATAACCGTTGTGTGACCAGCTTGAAAAAGTTTATATATGAATTAATAATAAACGCTTGCGTTTACTGGAAAACCAAAGATCTTTTTGGGTAAAATTCAAGGGGATTGACACGACCTGAACCTCATGTCGTCAGAACTTGATGAAAGTTGGCTCAAATGTTACCCCTATAGGGGTAAGTAAGCCCACAAAATTTGAACCCTCTAGCTCAACTAACATGGGCGCAGTGAGCAATCTAATTTTCGCCTGAAATTCATTTTCACCTTTTTCAGCAAAATGCACATTTTTGGAAAAGTCGTCGCGCTGGCCGCCCCGACGGCCTTTCCTCCGTCTAATCGACGTTCCTAGACTCAAAATTGTCTGGGGAATCCGAATCTGGCGTCGGTTTTCCGCTAGCGTTCCGATAAAATTCCGAAAATGGCACTTTTTTACGGAAATTTAGTTATTTCAGGGGTTTACGCGACAGGCCGTATCCACTAGCCCCCAATCCAAACATGCCCGTTTCAACTTTTTTTCAGTTAGGGGACACCATAAGCTTAATTTTAAGTTGGGCCCCGATATTGTGTATGGGTCTCGTTTAGGAGCTAGCCCTATGCCCAACTTTTGACTTTTTCCCTAAAATTTGTTTTTCTGTGAAACCTTTAAAAAGGCATGCCATCCTCAAAAATCGTCCTAGGCGGCCAATAAAGTAGTCTAACGGACGCAGAATTTCCCGAGGATCACGATGCTGCACGTGCATTTGAGTTTTGGGGCCTCAAACACAGTCAAAACTCCAAAAAACAACAAATTTATGTCAAATGCCACAAAATGTTGAACGGCAATTTCGACCCTTTTCCCCGTCGCAAGGCCGCTTTGCCGTTGCCTAATCGGACTCCTTGGAGTTTCCACTTTGAGAATAAGCAGGAAAGAGTCAGCAGCCCAGCGGCGGCTAACGTGTGGCCGCCGCCACACTGGAAACTGCGGACTTCCCCGTATAAGGACGAGGCACCGCGCCGCCCAGGTAGGCAACCAGTTTGACGCACCCCTCGGCCACGGGCGGTGGAGGTCGTACGCGCCGCCCGGGTAGGCAACCAGTCTGACGCGCTAGGCCCGAGATTAAGTGGGGGTGGGGTGGGGGTGGAGGGTGAGACAACCGTGGACTGTTAGTGTTGTTAGTGTGTTGTTGTTGTTGGTGGTGGTGTATTGTGTTTTTGTGGCTGCTGCTTTGTTGTTGATCGCTTTTCGGCTTGAGGCCATAAGAAAGGAACTCTCTCTGTGTGCGTTCGGGCTCGCCTGTTAATCCCGTAAGGTTTTATCTACATATCGGTTCAGGATGCGGAAGCCGGTAGGGGGTATGTTGTTCCACCTTGATAAATGTACTAGTTCTTTTAACCTCAACTGAAGTTAAATCTTCATATGTTTCTTTTCAGGCGAGCCCGAACGCACACAGAGAGAGCTCCTTTCTTATGGCCTCAAGCCGAAAAGTGATAACCTACATAGCAGCAGCCACAAAAACACAATACACCACCACCAACAACAACAACACACTAACAACACTAACAGTCGACGGTTGTCTCACACCCCCCGCTACCGTCCCTTCCCCTCCCCCTCCCCACCCCCACTTAATCTCGGGCCTAGCGCGTCAGACTGGTTGCCTACCCGGGCGGCGCGTGCGACCTCCACCGCCTGTGGCCGAGGGGTGCGTCAAACTGGTTGCCTACCTGGGTGGCGCGGTGCCTCGTCCTTACGGGGAAGTCCGCAGTTTCCAGTGTGGCGGCGGCCACACGTTGGCCGCCGCTGGGCTGCTGACTCTTTCCTGCTTATTCTCAAAGTGGAAACTCCAAGGAGTCCGATTAGGCAACGGCAAAGCGGCCTTGCGACGGGGAAAAGGGTCGAAATTGCCGTTCAACATTTTGTGGCATTTGACATAAATTTGTTGTTTTTTGGAGTTTTGACTGTGTTTGAGGCCCCAAAACTCAAATGCACGTGCAGCATCGTGATCCTCGGGAAATTCTGCGTCCGTTAGACTACTTTATTGGCCGCCTAGGACGATTTTTGAGGATGGCATGCCTTTTTAAAGGTTTCACAGAAAAACAAATTTTAGGGAAAAAGTCAAAAGTTGGGCATAGGGCTAGCTCCTAAACGAGACCCATACACAATATCGGGGCCCAACTTAAAATTAAGCTTATGGTGTCCCCTAACTGAAAAAAAGTTGAAACGGGCATGTTTGGATTGGGGGCTAGTGGATACGGCCTGTCGCGTAAACCCCTGAAATAACTAAATTTCCGTAAAAAAGTGCCATTTTCGGAATTTTATCGGAACGCTAGCGGAAAACCGACGCCAGATTCGGATTCCCCAGACAATTTTGAGTCTAGGAACGTCGATCAGGCGGAAGAAAGGCCGTCGGGGCGGCCAGCGCGACGATTTTTACAAAAATGTGCATTTTGCTGAAAAAGGTGAAAATGAATTTCAGGCGAAAATTAGATTGCTCACTGCGCCCATGTTAGTTGAGCTAGAGGGTTCAAATTTTGTGGGCTTACTTACCCCTATAGGGGTAACATTTGAGCCAACTTTCATCAAGTTCTGACGACATGAGGTTCAGGTCGTGTCAATCCCCTTGAATTTCACCCTTTTGTGTTCATTCATCCTTACTTGAAGTAAAAGCACAAAATTTAATTATGCACATTGAAAACATTTTAATAAATACCAACATCTGAAGGAGCTCTTGAAGGACAAGGAGCTCTTGAAGTGAGCTGTAAAATTTTTTCCGAAAAAGGAGTCGTTTAGCCGTCTGTAACATGCTTCTCCCTGCGGCGTTTTGTAAGGCTATTCCTTTGGAGGTGTCATGCGGCGGTCCGTATGACTCTTCCCCCCGGAGGAGTCGTACGGCGGTCTGTTAGACTCAACCCCCCGGGATGGGTCGTGCGGCGGTCTGTTAGACTCAACCCCCCGGGATGGGTCGTGCGGCGGTCTGTTAGACTCAACCCCCCGGGATGGGTCGTGCGGCGGTCTGTTAGACTCAACCCCCCCGGAGGGGTTTTGCGGACTAAAGCGTAGGCATATGCATGGGATGTTCTCGTTGAACAACAACAACGAGAGTTTGGGGCTTAAAGACGAGCCGATAATCGGCCCTGTGATCCAAACCATAAACTATATAGACTGGCCTTCTGCGGGATGTCCATTGATGCATCCGCAGGCAGCCTCCGAGAAATCACAAGTTTTTGTATTCCGGGGGAAGTATGGTTGCAAAGCTGAAACTTAAAGAAATTGACGGAAGGGCACCACCAGGAGTGGAGCCTGCGGCTTAATTTGACTCAACACGGGAAATCTTACCAGGCCCAGACACTGGAAGGATTGACAGATTGAAAGCTCTTTCTTGATTCAGTGGGTGGTGGTGCATGGCCGTTCTTAGTTGGTGGAGTGATTTGTCTGCTTAATTGCGATAACGAACGAGACTCTAACCTGCTAAATAGACGTACCCGGCTTCCTTGGAAGCCGGCGGTACTAAATCTTCTTAGAGGGACAGGCGGCTTTTAGCCGCACGAGATTGAGCAATAACAGGTCTGTGATGCCCTTAGATGTTCTGGGCCGCACGCGCGCTACAATGGAGGTGCCAGCGTGTCCTCCCTGGCCGAGAGGCCCGGGTAACCCGCTGAAACACCTTCGTGCTTGGGATTGTGGCTTGAAATTGTACCACATGAACGAGGAATTCCCAGTAAAGGCGTGTCATCAGCACGCCTTGATTACGTCCCTGCCCTTTGTACCCTGGGGTACATTTTTACTTTCTCTTTTTGTCACAAATAGTACTGCTTCCCTGGTATGATGTGGCAAGCCGTCAAAATCTGAATATTTTTCAGAGCAAATTGTCGAGTTGCAATATTTTGAGAGGAAACAGGAATCTGCAAGAAAATAGAGATAAAACCAAAAATTAGTAACAAATTAAGGACTACTAAATACAAGGAACTTAGTAAGAAAACTCAAAAAATTACCAGCTGCCGGCTCTCCAAAATGTGTCACATCTTCCTGAGGGTGTACCACACTTGGTGCAGTTGACAGCAGCTCGTTTAAGTCAGGATCTTCACCATGCTGTTGTGAGGCAGTTGTTGCAGGTGGCTGGCTAATTTTGTCTCCTTGAGTTGTAACTGCATCTCCTTGAATTGAGACTCCATCTCCATGAGTTGAAACTGCGTCTCCCTGAATGGAACCTCTGTCTGCTTGAATTTAAACTCCGTCTCCTTGAATGAAACCTCCGTCTCCTGGAAAGAAAGCGCCTAAACTATAACATTGTGTCAGATCAAAGGTGAAGCATAAGCTGCTGTTCCCATGGTTGAGCATTTACCTGATGCTTCATTAAGTAATGGTTTCACTGAGGCATCAATCTTCAACCGTTTCAAACAATTTGTGCACACCCATTTGTTTAGACGTTGGGGAAGACCATCTTCTTTTGATATACAAACAACAAATCTCAATGTCTTTTTCTTGTGGCCATAAGGTGCAAAGCGTGATCTATCTGCAATATATTTTAAATTATAATGCAGTCAAATAAGCACATCGTCGTATTAATTTTCTGTACGTACCGGTCTTATCAGCTGACACTTTCAAACTCTTTATGCAGTTGTTGCATAGCCATTGGCCGTCAAGATCTCTAGGTAAACCAAACAATGGAGTAACAAGTTTCAATTGAGAAACGATCGGTTTTTTGTGCGTACCCAGCGGATTGCAGCACATTCGTTCTTCGGCAGTGTCTATAAGAATAAAGTTACAGTTTATTAAGGGGGGACATCACTCAAAAAAGATCAAAAATTGCAATTTTTTTTTATTTGTTAATATTGTGGATCATTCTTTTCTGCGTCGAATGGCGAAAACCGCATTCCGAAATTCAAAAAATTGCAGTTTTAGGAGGTTGTGGGCCGCAGACATGCATATGGGAAAAGCCCAGTTTCCCCAACTTTGATCGCGTTTTTCTCGGAACATGAAATTGCAAACGGTTGCAGGCCTCTAGGGCGCAGTTTTTGAGCTATAGCGGGGAGATTTAGCATGGAAGCTCCTACGACATGCCGCTATGGTGGGTAGCAAAATAATTTGCATTGGTCAATTTTTATTATTTTTTAACGTTCAAAATTGAACAATTTTGACCCCAAAAAATTGAACAATTTTTTTTGGCATGAAACAAATACAACTTAAAATTATTTTTTAAATGTGATTGAGGTACCCACCATAGCCAGACATCTCAGGAAGGCTGTCACCAAATAACGTTGTTCTAGGTCAAACCGTTTGGCGTCCAGCGCTGCAACCGTGCGAAATGGTCTAACCTAACACTCAAAAATGCGTTTTCAACGAAAGCGCTGTACTGCCCTGGCGGATTGACTTAGTGTTGTTTTATACTTTGTCTGTTAAAATATGAACAATTTTTCTCTTTCCGTTTGGTTTTTGTGGCGTTTTTACAAAAGCACTGTTTTTGGAGTGATGTCCCCCCTTAAAAGTAACTCACAACTCATTGAGGTTATGTTATCGTGGGGTGCTTCTGCAAACCCACCCTACTGTACCTGCGAGACTGCCACTTAGCTGGTCCATAGTAACCGAACTATATACTAAACATACTATGTAATTAACATAGTTTTAAGCAGAAAAGTTATGACGCACACTGGAAAGGCAACAGAAAGATACGTCCAGTACTCTAGCCTTCAATCAAAAGCCAACAAACAACAGGTAGACTGAAGAAAAGAACAAACAAGTGGCCGCGAAGTACCAACGCCCCTCAACAGATGGCGCTGGCGACTATCCCGCCAAATGCACAATAAGTTGCCTACCTTGCAGGCGTTTCAGCCGGCACACCGTGAGCCGATCCTTGGCACCCCTACAAGACGGTCCCGAAGTGGATGCGAGAGGACCCTTCTCCTTGAAATTGGCCTCGGGGTCTTAGTCTGACACATAAACACCCACAGCTACGAGGAGGGACACGTTGTTCGACTAAATTGAGCGTTTTTGAGTGTTTTTCGCAATTGTAATTTTTCCGAGTGCTGTAGCGCCTAAACCATACCCATACCCTCAGTATATCGAGCCGCTTGTTTTTAGGTAGTCATCTGAGGAATTATTTACCGTCAAGAACGGGTCCAGTTTGGATTCCGGGATAGAAAAAAAATTGAAGGTTGTAAAACACTAAAAAAAGTTATTTTTTGACTTAGAGTGCATTTTTATCAAGGATGGACTGCTCTGGCCGACTAAAGAAAAAAAGCTCAAAACTTTGATTGCTCACAGTTCCTATACCAATTGACCTAGAGGGCTGAATTTTTGTGGAGGTGTTTACCTATGGGTAGGTAACATTTGAGCCAAAAATGAGCGAAATCGTCAATGGTCAACTTCGACCACTGTCAATCGGCTCTGGAATGCCCCGTAAGTCATCGTGCTGATGTGTACTGGTCAGCGACTGAACGAAGAATGATGCTCCTGCGGTCGGGGCGCCTGGATTTATACCCAGCGCTAGCGCCGCCAGCGCGCCCTCACGGAAAAAACTGGAACTACTCAGTGAAAAAGGCGCCGGCACTCAGCGGGACTCGAACCCGTGCCTCCGCGCTCGGAGCGCGGCAGAACTCTCTCTAACCGTCTGGGCTACAGCGCTGTGCTCCCATGGGGAGGGAACGGCACGCATCTTTACCTGGGAGCGCCGCGCGGTCGCGCGCAGCCGCGCGCAAGTCCGAGCGTGTTTCGGCCGGTTTGAATTTTACCCGCCTCCGCGCGAGTTCCGGCTGCACAGGAACCCTTCCCTGTCCTACGCCACGCCACGCCGCCGGTGACGAGCCGAGCGCCGAGCCGAGCCGAGCGCCGAGCCGAGCGCCGGGCCGAGCCGAGCGACTCCACGCTGCGCCACGCTGTGCTGGCGCGCCCCCACCCCCTGTCCACGACCTGCCTTAACACTCTTTCATTCATTATCCCTTCATGTTGGCACGTGTTTGATATCATTTCTCCGGCTGAAATATTTTTTCTGGAATTATTGGCAATACTCCCCCTGTCATGTCTTGTCCGTGGGAAAACTGCACTGCAAACCTAACTGTCTACTAAGTACACACTTACAAATGCGTGCTTGCAAGTACACACTTACAAACGCATGCTTGGCCAAGTACACACTTACAAATGCATGCTTGCAAGTACACACTTACAAACGCATGCTTGACGCATGGAGTTATACGGCGTCAAGCATGCGTTTGTACGTGTGTACTTGCAAGCATGCATTTGTAAGTGTGTACTTGGCTAAGCATGCGTTTGTAAGTGTGTACTTGCAAGCACGCATTTGTAAGTGTGTACTTAGTAGACAGTTAGGTTTGTAGTGTGTCTGAAAGAAGACAGTGGTCCAGAGCCCCCCCATCCCCCATCGCACCCTCCCCTAGGGTGGCCCAAAAAAAAACGAAGGTTTTTCGACTGTCCAATTCCGCTCAAAAATCGATTCTTGACTAAAAATAAACTAGGGGTACGCGCCGTTTTGAGTGGGCGCGTAGTGTGGCTGAGCGATGCGAATTTGTGCACTTCGGACTGCAGCTTGTGGGCTCATATTGAGTGAAATGTAGTTCTGGGGTATAAATAGGAGTGATTTTTGTTATCAGCACACAAAAAACTGTTGGGATCAACGTCAAACTCGATTCCAAAATTTTGGTCCAAAATCGGTCAAAATTCGGTAATGCGTGAGTCTGGGGAAAATTTGGAAGTCATTTCTGAGCTCAGCGCACCAAAAACTGCGGGAAACGATAAAAAACTTGATTTGAAAATTTTGGTCCAAAATGACCTAATTTGGGATGAAAATAAAAGTGTGGAGTCGAAATGGAGGTGATTTTCGTTATCAGCATACAAAAAACTGTTGGGATCAACATCAAACTCAATTCAAAAATTTTGGTCCAAATTTGGTCAAAATTGGGTAAAGCTTGAGTCTGGGAAAAATTTGGAAGTTATTTTTGAGTTCAGCTCATCAAACACTGCAGGAAACAATATAAAACTCGACCTGAAAATTTTGGTCCGAAATGACCTAATTTGAGATGAAAATATAAGTCTGGAGTAGAGATGGAAGTGGTTTTCATAATCAGCACTCCAAAAACTCCAAGAATGAATATGAGATTCGATTGAAAAATATTGATATCAAATTGATCAATAATGGGTAAAGAATGGGTCTGGGTTTGTCTTCATGGATCACCCTTTGTCGTCACCAATACCCTAATGCCACACCAATGCGATTCCTTCAGTCGAGTAACATTCCATTGCCAGCATTGAATCGCTTAATTAGCTACTCGTCTGCTTGACTCACTATTTGATACATCTTTTTCTTCAAACTAATGAATTCACAAATTTATTAGTTATATTTGAGAAGCCTTTTGTCATTCTTTCATTTAAAACCAGTGAATTGAACAATATAGACTGGAATATGTAATCATAGTTTTTATTAAGTGACTCAGTTTAGGGCAGGCTGATCTGAAGCACTCGACGGAGAACAAGTTTTGTCGAATTCAGTGAATCGTCTCATGAAGTTAAATGCAGAGGCCACTTGTTGCTCAATACGCCACCTTAATTTACCTTATTCATGCCTCGTAATATTTTATCTTTAGAGTAAAAGAATACAGTAAAATATTAACATTGGGCTTACATTCAGAAAGCCAGCTTTCAAATCATTACCAATACTTGGTTCCAGTTGTCGGACACAAGCTTTGGTGAAGTGAAAGGAATCGTCCCATTAAAAGCAATTAAGGGAAAGTGGGGTAATTCCGGACACGGGGCAATTCCGGACACTTCGATTTTCACTGGGTTTGAGTGAAGATAGCTCAAAAGCCCGCCTAACAGAGGAAGATAATCAGTTACAAATGATAATTCCAAATCGCCAAGGTAGGAGATCAAGCCGTTCGGCTGTGGTCGCCTCACGAAATTTGAGTACCACCAAAAATAGGCAAAAGCTGCATCTTTACCTCGCATTTCCATGTACTTATCGTACTTTAGCGTCAAGTTAAGTCCCATGACTAAAATTTTGTTACATTGTATGGTCTTTTGACTTTACTTTGACGTTTCGGGAGTGCTCGTATGGCACGCCGTTTTCTTACGATTGAACATTAAAGGTTTTCACTACCTGTGGGGTAAATCCGGACAAGTAGTGTTGTTTTCTCCAATTTCCCGCATAATGTTAAGGTACTGGCTTCAAAATTGTGGACATGCATCCCCACACTGCGAGAAAAGATCACGGTAAATCCTGTACTGATTACTCCAGACTTCACCGTACTCTTTTTAACAGGCAAAACCGTCGTTTTTTTTACAGGCAATACCGTACTTTTTTTACAGGCAACACCGTACTTGTTTTACAAGGAATCCCGTACTTTTTTACCCGCCAATCCCGTACTTTTAATATGTATCAAAAACTGCTATAATTTATTTCAGTCGGTTGACCCTCGTTTTTCAAGATTCTGATGTACATAACTGCTGAAGTCGGACTCCTGGACCCCCCTTCCGACCACTCGTTGGAAAGGTCTTGACGAGACCTATCGAAAGGTGCAATAAAATTTTTCAGTCGGTCGACCCCCTTTTTTCAAGATCCTGATGTAGACAATTCTTCGGAGCGGCCTTTGTTGGGACCAGATCTGGTAATTCCTACGGCATGCACTGTACGAAAGAACGGTAACTACTGTTAAAAAACTGCGGAATATTTTGTAAAACAAGTACGGAAAATACTGTAGACTGTACGGTGGATACTGGTTTTTGAAGTACGGTAAAGTTTGGCAAAAAAATTATCCAGA